GAGAAGAGTAACAGAGATAGACCCTAAAAACATTTTGCTGAAGGGAGACATAAGTAGACAAACAGGATGGTTCCACTTAACATGGGAACTAGACCAGGCCAGTTCCTAAAGACAGACAGCACAGTGGAGACTAGTGAGGCGCTGGAGGGGAGGGAAAGTAAGTTGAATTGTTTGTGATTATGGTACACAGAATGCCCTGGCAGTGCTTACTCCCCATATCTGAAGTCCAAACCCAGCAACCCTGAAACAAAGAAATTATCAAGGAGGGCAACTGAGGAGGAAATGTGTCAGGTGGAGGAGGCGGCTGAGCTCCAGCCCAGCCCAGACTACAGTTCTAACGTGTCAAAGTCAGAGCGATAACAAAATGACACAGTTTGTTGGTTTAAAGGCTGAAGAGGCCCAAGCCATTTTAACATAGGCAGACTCTTATGGGACGGGTGATGTGCTCATGCATTCATGTGTGTATGCACACGTGTGCACATATGTATAAGAGACAAATGACAACCTGGAGTGTTATTTGTCAAGCAGGCATTGTCCACTATTTTTTGGATAGGGTCTCCCACTGGCCTGAAACTTGCCAAGTAGATAGGCTGACTAGCCAGCAAACCAGAGATTTGCCTCGCTCCACTTCACCTCCCCAGTGTGGGAACTAAGGACATGCACTCTAAACCCCGCTTTTATGCGGGAGCTTGAAGACTGAACTCATGTCATCATGCTTGTGAGCCAAGCATTTTCCCAACTGAGCTGTTTCCCAGTCTTGTAGTCAGACTCTAAAACTCAGAAAGGAGCCAGGTGGTGGCGCATGCCTTTAATCCCAGCATTTAGGAGGCAGAGGCAGGTGGGTGCCTGTGAGTTCGAGGCCAGCCTGATCTACAGTGTGAGTTCCAGGATGACCAGGACTGTTACATAGAGAAACCCTGTCTTGAAAAAACAAAACAAAATAAAATCAAACTCAGAAAGACAAGAAATCAGGTTCTCTCTCAGAACCTCCAGACAAGAAAGCAAATCCTGCTGACAAGTCGATTTTTATTCCAGTGATAGTCATGTCATGCTTCTGGCCTCTGGAACTGTAAAGTAATGAATCTATATTGTTTCAAGCCACTATGCTTGGTCTGTTACTGCAGGAACAGGAAGTTACTGAATATGTATTGCAGAGGTCTTCTGTTATTATCCTTCTATCTGGACAGTCTACGGTAGTATTACCTCCTCATTCCTGGTATGGGTAATTTGCCTTCTTTCTTCTTTGCTAGTCTAGCTAGGGAATTATCAATTTTGATAATAAAAAGGAAATAAAATATTAGGGATGTGGTTCAGTGGTTCAATCCCCAATACCAGCAAAACCCCTAAACACATACTTAAAGAAAAAGCAAAGCGGGGGCTGCAGATGTAGCTCAGTGGGTAGTGTGAACACTCATGAAAACCTAAGTCATGGGCATAAGCCAGGTGTGGTGGTGCATTAGGACAGAGGCAGGAGGGTCAGACTGAAATGACTCGCCGAGCAGAGATGCATACCACCAAAGGATCAACTGAGCTCAGCTTCTCAGAGGAAGAAAATCGAGCCCAGAAAGCTGTCCTCTGACCACCACACG